TCACTGGTTAGATTTCATGATTGACTTAATGTTCATTAGTTTATGCATAGTCTTGAACTAATGATTTATAAAGAAGATTACATGAATATGATTTGAAATTTAATCTAATCATGATCTCCAAATTCTGGAATCTAGAAAAAGATTCTTCTCCTAACTGGAGACTGTTACACACTTCGGAGACTTATATCTCTACCCATGCAACATCATTTTAAGTTTTGGAGTTTTCTTTAAACTAAGAACTCCAACATAGTGGAAGTGTACAGAATCAAAATTAAATGGTTGAAAGAATCATTGTACATTATCACTGCCATAAATCAATATAAGCTACATATACATATGCAATTCAGGTATTTATGTTGGTTATAGGACCTCTAAACCAATTCCGAGCACTAAAGATCCAGGAGAAGACGGTAAGAGTAAGCAAGCCACCAACTGCAACAGGAGTGTAGTTGAGTGTCTGAGCGGTAATGGGGTAGGCTACAGGCAGCGAGAAGAGGACTGAGATGGTCACTACCCATAGAACAGCCACCCAACCAACTAGAATCCCGTAGCGTCCCAAGTTGAATGGCCCAGGGACAAAGGATTTCCGTGCCAAAGTCACTCTGAAGAAGATTGGAAGGGCATAAGCAATGTACAGTCCAATAGTTGCTATAGATACCATAGCCTGAAATGCCACTATGCTTCCAAGAGACTACAAGACATTACGAGCAAATAAAGGACAGAATTAGAAATTGAATGAAGAACTAAAAAGTAAAGCACAAGATGGAATTAGGATTCAATTCCTGATGAGGTCTCAGCCAGCATCAGGATTAACATGACTTGGTCTTGAACCCAGTCCTATTCTATGGTCACTTAGTTTATCTCATATTCAATGTTTATTTTACTTGCAGAACAGATTTTCCATTAACATGTCTTGGTAAATTTTTCACGCACGCTGAGAAAAAGAAAGTAACCAAGATACTCTCAAACTGAGATAAAATAGAGATAAAGATGTGCATACAGTTAGTGCCATGCAGAATGATATAAATGCAGAGAGCCAAACTGCATTTATAGGGACCTCCTGGTTGTTGACTTTATGCCAGAAGGATGAGAATGGCATGGCTCCATCTCTTGAAAATGCGTAAGCCATCCTGATAATGGATATTTCATCATCATTAGAGACTGACATTACTAGGTGCTCCTAGTTGTAAAGCGGAAAATGAAAAGCAGTAAACATACCTGGAGTTACTAGTAACTGAACTCATTCCACAGAAAAATATAGCAACAGCAACCACACCTAAGCAGATAACTCCCCCAACTCCACTGCCAAATCTATTCTTGAATGCTAGGAAAAAAATTTCAGCAATTGCATAACCACCAGCATCGTTATCTTCACTCAAAAGGAACGGGATGTTGGTAACTGCGAATGTGATACCAAGTAGGTAACCCCATCCAAAAATTATGGATATTCCAATAGAACTAATTATTCCTTTTGGTCCATTCTTATCAGCACTTTTGGTTTCCTCTGTCTAGAAACGGAAATTTAAGTGAAGGGATTATAATTTTTGTTTTGAATCATAGGATCAACTCGTAATTGGTTAGGGGAAACGGGATGTAATAGAAAGTATTGGAGAAAATATATTAAAAAAAATACTAAATTCCAAACCAGAAGGTTTATTTTGGCATCAAAATGTTTCAAGTGTACTAGTCACCATGTAAGTAGACGGTTTATTTTTTTTTTTATCAAAAAAAGCTTATACTACGATTTGGCGAGATGTAGAAAGTTTCAATGAGCAATCAATAAGAGGAACGTCCTCTAAAACCATCGGAATTAGCATGACATGATAAATTAAATCCAGGGATACTTTTTCATAATATTGGCTCTTCAACTTTTCACCAAAAATGTACCTTGACTTCAAATAGAAGCTTTGTATTTTCGTAGAAAAATTCAAGCTAGCCAGCTTTTCCAATTGAAGCAATAGAAAGATAAACTCACCATATGGGCAGATGCATCATACCCGGTAAGGGTATACTGACTCATTAGAAGTCCCAAAACAAATATATAAGCTTTACTGCTAATTCCATCACCATTATCAGTATTGAAGTGTGTGAACACAAACTTGGCACTTGCCCTCTCCGTAGCAACAGAAGGAATGAGTATCATCAAAACCATAACTCCTGAAAATCCAAAGAAACACTACTTATTCCATAGGGCATTCTCTCAAGAACAATATACAGAACCGATGCCGGTTTTAATCATACCAACAAGATTCCATGCAGCAGCCAGTTGTCCAAAGAAAGATAACACAGATATGGGCAGGCTGTTAATTGCAGCATGTAGAAATAGAATTCCTCCATGGAAACCAATAACGACATATTTAGATGCCTCATATCCGCCACCATTTTTTCCTCCTGTGCTAAGGAGAATAATCACCTGGATCAGCTGTGCAAGAGAGAAATCTACACTGGTTGTAACAGCCCACTGCATATGAAAGATGATACTCAAGGATTTAAGATTCATGTTATTCCATATAATACACAAAACAAATTTCAAGTGGGACTATCAGACTCTGGATACTGAATTATTACCTGACCTACAATATTAAACCTGAAAGCAAATAAAAATGATAAGGGTTAGAAAATTTGTTGCAGGAAGGACAATTTTTTCAGTTCAAGAAAACATGGAACTTTTAGTTCACGAAAAATAATGAAACGGCAGTAGATTTCATACTATGCTTTTAACAGAATTGTACCCGTGGAATAATTTAGTTGGGTTACTATTTCTCTTAAAACTTATATAAATCTATACGTACGTATCTATTTACATTTACAGGACTAATTCCAGAAGCAGATAATATTATAAAAGAAAGACCCAATTAACAAAACAAGCAAAAAGAAAAATCATCAAACACGCCCATCAATGAAACAGAACAAGACCAAATGTTTGGAAAAAAGAATCATCCATCATAGATCCAAATTATAAAAAGAAGAGCAAATGGGTAATACAAGAATTACCAGCCAGTCATCCAAGAGGCAAAAGGTGCCCATTGTGGACCAGCAAGCTTTGCACTCCAGTAGTATAGACCACCGGAAGTAGGGTAAGATGAACAAATCTCCGCCATAGACAACCCAACAAACATGGTGAACCCACCGGCAATGAACCATCCATAGACCAAAGTCACCGGCCCGCCAAAGTTCAGACCGGTATTGTAAAGCGTAGTGATTCCAGTAAGCACCGATATGATCGAAAACGAAAAGGCAAAATTGGAAAACATCCTGCAAATTGTTTCAATCAAAACCCAGAAAACCCCACGTAACTAACTATTCACTCTCTGCTGGGAAAAATCGTTCATTATTGAAAACCAAAGTCTAACTGTAAAGGTAAAAACAAGAACTGGGTTGTAGAGAAGTTTTACGATAAATCACGCTTGAGCTCTTGTTTGTAACCAAGCTCCTTGAGCCTGGCCTGGCCTGAATCAACCAAAACGCTACCATTTTGAACTTTGTGCGTAGGGAGATCCATTTTTTCTCCTCCGACAGCCATTTCAACAGACAGAATGACTCAAAAAATGAGGAAGAAGGAGAGAGAGAGAAAGAGAGAGGGGGGGGGGGGGGGAGAGATTGTGTTATGTCAACCCAGGTAACCAGTCTTCTTGCTTCTCCCGATTTCCTTCTTCCTTCGACTCATACGCATACGTTGATTATGAGTTTAACACGTTTCTTTATTCTCTAATGAAAGAGAAACAATTTCCAGGTCGGCATTGACGGAAACACTCATGAACAGAGTGTGCAACAAACTACATTCCTTGGCTTTTCTGCGGTCAAAATGAACCACCTAATACATACTCAGAGAGACGAATTCAAGATTTGCCACGTGTCCCCATTTTCCCACCCAACTTCAATATTTCTGTTAATCACAGTTATCTTCATTTTAATATTTTTAATTATATAAAATAATATAATCGAAATTCTTAATTATTAATTTCTAAAAATTATTTTATTTAATTAATGGAGAGATTCCCGACATACGAAATTATTAACGAATCTTTAATTTGAATAATTGATGCACTGGAGATAGGCCTCCATGTGAATCTTTTTTTAATTATTTTTTTTTTTTACATTACCCTAAAAAAAAAATTAATAATGTAACAAAAAATTAGAATAAATTAATATAAAAAATTTTTATATGAGCTATATTTATAACAAAGGAATTTTGTTTATAAATATTTTTGTAAGTATTTGAGTGCCCAATTTATTTTTTAATATTATTAATATTCAATCTGAATAAATTTGACCTTTAGTGTTCATAATTTAATATAAAAATAAAAATAAAAATATTTGTGAAACGTCACTTTCGTGGGGTGCTACTAAATACGGCGGATCTATTATTGTAGGTATGGGCGGAGTGGACCCCACAGGATCATGTGATTCGTTGGAGCACTTTTCTTCCCTTGATTCTCTGGTTCTCGGTTTGAACTATCTCCGTAGAACTGTTCATTTGGGCTGGACTGGATCGGGTCAGACCCGGGAGGTTGTAAATATATTTTGGGTGGCCCAGCCCGGTGTATGCGGGTCCTATTAACTTTGTGGCTAAAATAAACTCTCTATATTATTAACTTTGTTAAAATTAATTTTTAGGTCAATTTTTAATCAAATTAATTTGCATATTTTTTAAAAATATTTGATTCACTCTCAATTGTTATTACTATTAAATTACGTGTATCACGTATTAATTTTAACTGCATATCATACTTTTTAAATGGCTCTTCTGTGACTTAAATGTCACGTAACATCTGACATAACATTTGAAAAAATTAGATGTAGATCGGTCTGAATCAATTCGTAAATCTAAATTTATGAATGGTTTGGAGCTCGAAGTTTCAAGTTCGTCGAGCTCGAATTGCATGTTAACTAGTCTAACACTCCGTAACTTTTTATGTAATAGAGTTTCAAATACTGAATTTAACTGACGATTCTAAAATAATTTTTGATATCTGATCTCTTCGTTCCCGATCGAAAAAAAAAATAGCTCAATTCAATGGTGGAAGTTTGACAGACAACTTCAAATATGGAATTCAAAAGTATTAATATAAGAAATGATATTATGAAGAAAAAAAATCCCTCCAAATCTCATTTTCCTCTATTTTCCTCCCTTTCTCACTCTAATTTTCCATCACTTTTTGTCTCTATTACCACTTACTTTGGTTTCCTTTTCTTTCGCAAACTTTTTAATTTGCGAAATCTCATTGATACTTAAAAAGTTCTTTGCCTCAACCTTTCCCTCCACCTCATGCCCTTTTATTCTCTTGTCTCCTTCGAGCACCTCCTCTCTTCCATCATGAATGAGAATAAAAATAAAGACTAAGATATAACATCAAAACAGAGATGGGTCGGTGTTGAGATGAAAGAAATCAGTGAAAAAGACAATAAAAATACAGTAAATAATAGTTAATAGTGTTGAAAATTATTTTACGAACCATCTAAATTGTCTTACTAATAAAATAATTACTTTCAAATCTTATTTAATAAATATTTTTCGGGTCAATAAATTTATCTTTATTATTCAATTATATTTGTATTTTTTATTTAAAAAAATTAAATATATATCACGTTTGATATAAATTTAAATTTTTTAAGTATCATTTTATATATTACATGACATTTGATTAATGAGATGGTAGATTAATATTAATTATTAGTAGTATAAATCAATTTTTTTTAAAAAATATTTATATAGAATTTTATTTGACCGATGATTAAATTATGAATTAATTAAAATTACAAAAGGTTAAAAGCGTAATCATCATTTTTGTCCCAAGTGTCCAGCACCAATATGAAACGATACGACGAGCAGCTGGGCGCGAACCCCGCTGGCCATTTTTCATGGCAACTCTTCTATTGCTCCCCGGTAACTCAACTCGCTAATCACCTAACAGCCTACTACAATGTCCTTTTATGGCAAAGCGACGCCTCATGGCAGAACCCCTACTCTCTCTTCTCTATTCAGCTCCCCATTTCACCAACTCAGCAACATCCTCCTCGTGGCCTCGCTTGCGAAAACCCTTGCGAAGTCCGGCACCCGCAACCTCGACCCCGATTCAACACCTATCACTGAGTCTCTCGTCCTCCAAATCCTACGCAGGAACTCCCTCGATCCTTCCAAAAAGCTCGACTTCTTTCGATGGTGTTCGTCTCTCAGGCCAAACTTCAACCCCCCCCCGTCCCCCTATTCTCACATGTTCCGTACTGTTTGCCGTGCTGGACTTCTCGAGGAAGTCCCTAGTTTGCTGGGTTCGATGAGAGAAGATGGTATCGTCGTTGATTCTGGGACTTTCAAGACTTTACTTGATTCTTTTACTCGGTCGGGTAAGTTTGATTTTGCGCTTGAGATTCTTGATTACATGGAGGAGTTGGGGACTAGCTTGATCCCGAATCTGTATGATTCGGTTCTTGTTGCTTTGATTAGGAAAAACCAGGTGGGTTTAGCTCTGTCTATATTTTTTAAGCTTTTAGAGACTTGTGATAACGGCGGGGACAACTGTGATTTGGCTGGTGGTCCATTTCCTGGTTCGATGGCGTGAAATGAGTTGTTAGTGGGCTGAGAAAAGCATATATGAAGGCAGAATTCAAGGTGGTATTTGATAATTGAGGGAAAGAAGGGGTTTGAAATTTGATACTTGGGGTTACAATATATGTATTCATGCGTTTGGTTGTTGGGGTGATCTGGGTACTTCTCTGAATTTATTTAAAGAGATGAAGGAGAAGAGTTTGGTTTCTGGGTCAGTTGGCCCTGATTTGTGCACCTATAACAGCCTCATTCACGTCCTGTGCTTGGTTGGGAAGGTGAAAGATGCTATGATTGTGTGGGAGGAACTGAAAGTATCTGGTCACGAGCCTGATGCATTCACATACAGAATAATTATCCAAGGATGCTGCAAAGCATATCGAATGGATGATGCAATGAAAAATTTTAGCGAGATGGAGTGTAACGGGTTTGTTCCAGATACCATTGTGTATAACTCTCTTCTGGACGGAATGTTCAAAGCAAGGAAGGTTGCGGAAGCATGCCAATTGTTTGAGAAAATGGTTCAGGATGGGGTTAGGGCCTCTTGTTGGACATATAACATTCTGATTGATGGATTGTTTCGGAATGGAAGGGACGAGGCTGGATACACCCTGTTTTGTGACTTGAAGAAGAAGGGGCAGTTTGTAGATGCTGTGACCTACAGCATTATTGTGGTAAAACTAAGCAGGGAGGGGCTGCTCGAGGAAGCTTTGCAGCTAGTCGAAGAGATGGAGGCTAGGGGTTTGGCAGTTGATTTAATCACAATAACGTCGCTCTTGATTGGGTTTCATAAAAAGAGGAGATGGGATTGGACTGAGCAACTCATGAAACACATTAGAGATGGCAATCTAGTGCCTAGTGTTCTCAAGTGGAAAGCCAATATGGAAGCTTCAATGAAGAGTCCACAGAACAGGAGAAATGATTATACCTCAATGTTCCCTTCTAAAGGTGATTTTAGTGAGATTATGAATCTTTTAGGTTGTTCAAATCCAGATGTTGACACCAAGCATGACGTGGAAGATGGTGGAATTGACAATGAGGAGCCATCATCGAAGGAAGGGGATCAGTGGTCATCATCCCCATATATGGATCAATTGGCAAAGCAAGTGAAATCCAGTCACTTCACTGCAGCATTATTTTCTCTAAAAAGGGGACGAAGGGTTAAAGCAGAAGGGATGGATTCTTTCGATGTTGATATGGTGAACACCTTCTTGTCCATATTTTTGTCCAGGGGTAACCTGAGCTTAGCTTGTAAGTTGTTTGAGTTATTCAGAGATTTAGGTGTTGACCCCACGTGTTACACTTACAACTCTATGATGAGTTCATTTGTGAAGAAAGGCTATTTCAATGAGGCATGGGGAGTGCTCAATGAAATGGGGGAGAAGGTTTGCCCAGTGGATATAGCAACATACAATGTGATAATCCAAGGCTTGGGAAAAATGGGGAGAGCAGACCTAGCAAGCGCTGTTCTGGACAAGTTAATGAAGCACGGTGGTTATCTTGACATAGTCATGTACAACACCCTGATTAATGCTCTGGGCAAGACTGGCCGAGTTGATGAAGCAAACAAGCTATTTGAACAGATGAAAACGGGGATAAATCCTGATGTTGTTACTTATAATATCCTCATAGAAGTTCATAGCAAGGCTGGTCGACTAAAGGAGGCATATAAATTCTTAAAAATGATGTTGGATGCAGGCTGCTCTCCCAACCATGTCACTGACACCATTTTGGATTATCTGGGACAGGAGATGGAGAAGCTGAGATATGAGAAGGCATCAATCATATGCACTCGTAAGAATGATTCTTCTTGAAAGGTTTTAGAAGATACAGTTGTTTTCAGGTAAATCAGCAGCCATTGTATAATGATCACATGATGGGTAAAATCCTGTACTTCTAAACTGGACTTTTTAGCTGCAGTCAATGGCTTGCCAAGAAAGATACAGACAGATGACTCCCCCGAGTGAACTTTTCTTCAAATTACTTTCTACTGTTAAGATCATAAGCTCCAAGGCAATGCAAACTCTATCAAAATCTCTTATCCAGAAGAGCCTAAAAATGTGTAAGATAGAACTCCAGCAGAACATGCAGCCATCTGAATTCAGGATGAAAGCCATTAGGTAGGCTTCGCTTTTGATTCTCCTACTTGCGTGTGCTATTCTCTTCTTTTACATAAAAAAATAGGAGAATAATTGATGAGACATCCCTAACTTCTTTTGCTTATGCATGTTCTTTCTTTGTTTTTGCTGCCATATGTATTTATTGATTCTTTTTATTTTTTGCATATTTTGTTCAACTTTGCAGCAAAGAATCTCATGGCTTCATGAAGAAACTAGATTAAGAGCAAATCAAGGGTTATTATCTTGTCTGATAAGGATTTCATGCATCACAAATCAGAAGCAGAAAGTGTTCATGAAGAAAAACCTGAGAATTGTTTGGACAATGTTATTGGGGATGCTGATGTGGAGAAGAGAATCTACAAAATAAGATTTAGAAGATGCAAATTTGCAAAACTTCAATTGTATGCCAGGAGCTAGTGATATTGGTGAGGATAACATGGATATACTGGAACAGCTTAAGAAACTCGACGGAGTCTCATCCAGAGAATACAGGTAGTCAGGAATCTGAAATTAACAAAAATTTCAATCAGGATGAAATGACAACAAAGCAGCAAGTAGTGTGGATGGTACCAAGACTGATTCCACGAATCCATCAGCTTCTAAAGATGGAGCGCAGCAGAATGGGAGCCCTATTGGAACATTGAGCTTTGGTAAAGCATTGGTAAAATTGGGTCGACAAACTATCCTTAAGGATCTTGTTTGCAGAAGAGAATGGAGGTTTCGTAACCATTGGAAGATTCAGTTGCAGATAAAGAATGTGAAAATTTGGTGTCCTGAATTCTCAGAGGACTTGATATAATACAAAATTAGTTGCTACAAGGGTGCAAGTGGAAATGGCAGGATGCATTTGATTAAGACCATTGCAAGTTTGAGGCCTTCAGTTCGAATTTCAGGAAGCCCTACTACGTATCCAGTTGTTCTATATTATTATGCTCGGGTTTAAGTGAGCAGGAGAAAGATTTTCCACTTCCGTATATAACATAACTTATAAGCAATCAGAACCATTTTCAGAGGAAACTCAGAACGAACCAGTCAAGAAAAAGAAGAAAGTGCGGTTCAGCTCATGTCTAGCAATGCAAGAGAAAAGAGAAAACATACCAGCCAGTGAACCAAGAAGCCAAAGCTCCCCAGTCATTGCCACAGAGCTTTGAGCTCCAGAAGTAGAGTCCACCAGAAGTTGGGTACGCAGAGCAAATTTCAGCCATTGATAGTCCCACCATCATCGTCATCATCCCAATTATGGGCCACCCCCATATCATCGTCACAGTCCCACCATATGTCAGCCCCGTGCCGTACATTGTCGTCAGCCCTGTGATCACAGACACGATTGAGAAGGTAACTGAGAAATTCCCTATTGCCCTGCACAGCACCCACAACATAACCAATCTCCGAGTTATATATAGAGACGCAGATACACATATATACGTTTATATGAGCTGGTGTGGGGAAGTAGAAGAGAAAAGATGACGTACGAGAGGCTGCGGTTAAGTTCTTGCTTGTAACCAAGCTGTTTCAAGCGAGCACTGTCTGAGGGAAGATCTTGATCAGGGTTTTGAAGAGGGAGATAGCAATAGGAGCCTGCATCTTCTGTGCTCATAATTTCACAGCTCTCCATTTTTTGACAAGAAAATATGAGAACCACTCTCTCCAACTAAAGATATATATGTATATATAAACATATCATATATGTTTATATATCTATATATATATATATATATATATATTATTCAAATCTAACTGTCAAGGGAACTACTGGGAGGGTTTGACAAGTCGCTAACCTGAGTGCGACGCAACCTATATTTATATTTATATGTAATAATTAGTCAATATTAATATTATTGCTTTATCTTAAAATATATAATTTCCTGTAAATTAAATTACATGGTCTACCAAAGTTAGGGCAGACAGGAACCACTCAAGAAGTAGCAATTTATTGGGATATTCTATTATAATAAATGTGCATTTATAATCAAATATATATATATATATATTTATTGAAGAATAATTTTAACCCATAAATTTATTATTTATAAATTGAAATGCCTTTTTGGTTTTGATAATCAATTGATTTGCTTATTTAAAAATTAAGTTAATAAAAAAAAAGTCAGAATCAATTATTTAATTATTTATACATTAATAAACTCATCTCACTTGCAAATTTACCAAGTCAAGAGTGTTATTTCAATACCTTGTACTTAATTATTTTTAAATTTAGATAATAAGATGTAACTCTAAATCTTTTGTGCCTTAAAATATCATAAATTTAGACAATTAAGTTAATTAATCATAAAAATTTGAATTAATAAAACAATATCCAATAGATAACTCATACCTTAAAAGAAAGAGACAAAATGATTTGGGTTTGTCAAAAATTATTTGTCAATTAAGAAAAACTAATTAATTTTCAAATGGGTGTGTGGGTATATATATGATAATTTAAGATATGGTTGCTTCCATAATCTTTGGCCCAAAATATCATTTCAATGTATACCCAATATATATATGTATACCCAATATATATATATATATATATGATAACATTTGCCAAAATCATTTGTCAGTTCATAAACCATTACAATGCCCAATATTCTTAATTAATTCATTAGCTATTTTATGGTTAATATAAAGTTTAAAGCTTGTTTATAATTCATTTATAAATTATATGAATTTATTTAAAAATTAATTCTAAAAAAACTGGGTTCAAAAGCAATTTTACTTCAAATTGAAATAATACACTTAAAAAAAATTCTACAAAATTCTATTAACTTTGATGGTATTATTTAAATTTTACATTAAATTGTATATATACTCAGGAATTTTTATTCATTTTCCTTTTTACAATTTAAATTTTTTCTTCAAAATTTGTCAAAAAAGAAAAAAGAGAAATTAGGCAGAAAACATATATATGTGTGTGTATGTGTGTGTGTATATATATATATATATATACACATGTACAATTCTCATCTCTAAACAAGTGAAGTTCTTTACCAACTCAAATCTTACAATAAAATTAAAATTACAACTAATAAAACAGGACCAAATTATTATTAGTAGTAGTATTATTATTATTTGACATTTGATTAAGAAGTTCCCAGTTCACGATTAGCAGCTAATCTCTTATAAATTTCCAACACTAACCTACTATCCACCACTTCATCTCCACAATACGACACCGTAAGGTCCCGTTCCTTTGCAACCTTGTTGCCTCTAAACGAACCGTTTTGATTAGCCTTCCCAAGATTCGTAACCAAACGAATCATCATATCGATATAAGCGTCGTGAAACTTGGCCAGAACTTTGATCGGAGAAGCCAGTTTCAGCTTCGGAATTCTTCTCATCCTCCATAGCCGTCGGGCTCCAGCTCCTAGCCTTGCCAGCTTTAGCTTCTTCTTCGTTGACCCATGAAGTCTCTGGTACTTTCTCCTCCGCCAGTACCTCTTCAGGCTCTCCATTTTTGTTTTCTTAACTAAGCTTAGATATACTCATACGTACACACACACACATATATATATATATAGATTTGGAGAGTGAAGGAGGAGGAAGATAGGATTATATAAAAGAAGAAAATGGGTATGGTGGTAGTGGGTTTGTTTCTTCAGCAATGATAATAATAATAATGAAGACTGAAGGCGTCGAAGACAAGAGAAGATGTATTAAATAGACGAGAGGGTCGTCTGACCAAGTAATTTTATGAAATATTTAATTTAATATGAAGTATATAATTAAGTCTAGAATCGGTTCTAATTACTCAAATTTTACTTTTCATAGTTTTAATGAGTGATTTTATTTTCTTTTACCATATACCTAATAATTTACTGGAACGTAATTATATATATATATATATATATATGTATACAAATTAATCATATGATTGTATGATATTCTCAACGTATAGGCAACGTTGTTTCTCGATATGAATGGTTGACTGGTCAAATCAAAGCTGAAGTCAACACAATCGACGGTTTGGGATTAGTGCAAAAAACAGGCTGCATAAAAATTAAAAAATACATATAATTATTCAAGAACAAAATACAATTTTGTAAATATGACCAAGGGATCATAATTTTGTAAAAACATAAAATTTGCTTAAAAATTAAAAGCATAAAAATGTTATACATATAGATTTTCATATGGGTCTTGTGTGTTTGTAAATGTTATAAATAAAAATAATAATATATATTTTTTAAATATTCAGTTGATTTTTATACTAATTTTTTTTATTTTTTTAATTACTCTATTTTAAAATATATATTTTATTTTCTTATCCATTAAATATCATTAATATTATTTATGAATTATAATTATTTTTAGTTGGATAAATTTTTACATGTATTTTGTGTTAAAAAAAATTTTTAATTAATTTTTACCATGACCATAAATTTATGATTTTAAAATTAATCCTTCTTTTTGGAATTTTACCAAAACACCACAGAAATGATGATGATGTCACAATGTTGACCCTGGTCAACCGGTATATGCAGGCCCACGTGTCATAATTTATAAAAAAAAATAAAGTTGTCGCTGAATTCATAATTTTTTAAAAGGTAAAATGTAATGATTTTTGGAAGGTACAATTACCCCATAATTCACATTACCCAAAAGTATATTACGTGAAATTTGTGACAGAGGATAATAAAAAAAAAAATTTGAGGAAATAATTTAATTATATATATATATATACTTTTTCTACAAATTTTTTAAAATTATTGTATAATTATAATTGGGTTCATAATTTTAAAACAATATTAATTTAGAAACGAACTTGAATTTAAAATAAATATTTTTTTTTAATTTTTATGTTATAAAATTAAAAAATTTAAATAAAATATTTAAAATTATTTATAAATATGAAATAGATAATAAATTATCGAATAAACTCTAAGTTCGGTATAGTTGTCTGATTGTCAAATGATAATAATAATATAAAAACTGAAGAGAAAACAAAAAAAAGAAAAGTGATGGTGATTTTAATGTAATAAATTACAATAGTAAGAGTAAGAACACATAACATGATGTTACCTATTATAGTATATATATATATATATAAAAGAAATATACATATATATATAGGTTGATTGCTTATAAAAGTACCACTTGTAACACAGAATGATGTTACATATTTTGTGTTAACAGATATGACTTTTTCTTTATACACATGGTCTTTATTTTCTGTAAGTTATAATTATTTTTTTTCATCATACAATTTTATAAGGAAGAGAGAGAGAGAGAGAGAGAGAGAGAGAGAGGGAGAGAAAGAGAGAGAGAGGGAGAGAAAGAGAGAGAGAGGGAGAGAAAGAGAGAGAGAGAGAGAGAGAGAGAGAGAGAGAGAGGGAGAGGGAGAGGGGGCTTCGTCATGTGACAGACATCGCAAAAATAGTCCGTCGAACTATCGCCGATAGAGGGCATCGTTCAAGTATACGATTTTTGAACCCTGATGGGTTTCGCAGTCGACCATTTGATAGCCCTCTTCCTGAATATACAGAACTAATAGGGCTTCGATGAGCCCACTTCAGAATAAGGAAGGGCTTCTTGAACCCTTCTAAGCAATTAGAAGAGCGCGGAATTTGACCTCCCTCAAATGGATGGATCTGGGATTGATTGTGGAATCCAAGCAGAGAGAACCCGGGGCGGGCA